CTCCTCTGGCGAGCTAAGAAAATGTTTATATCTCTGAGCCTGGCCTTCATAATTCCATTCCAGACAATTATGCTGTAAATTCCTTATGGAAACACTTTGATGTTTGGAAGGATGAGCATTTGTGAATGGGATTGTCAGGTGGATTCCAATACTCTGCTAAAGAACTACCACTTAGTGTCATGGTTTCTGCTGGGGCCCTTTCTGCCACCTTCACCATGGCCTCTCTGAGAGATGGCGCAGACCATGCATTTATGGTCTCAGATCCTGGACCATAAATGTATCTCCTCATAGCATCCTTTGGACCAGGCTGACCATTAGGAAGGGTTTGGTGAGCAGCTGAGTTGCAGATGCTGGTGGGTGAACAGCGAGGAGCATTTGGAGGACCAAATGCTGCCCTTCGTGCACTAGAAGACAGGCACAAAAGGATGGCACGAGACAATCAGAATATAGAATCATTAATATAATATAATATCACTTTTTCTGATCAAGAATGTCAGGTGGGAAAGGATGGCCAACTTGGTTGGTGACATATGTCACCTAAAAATGGGAGCAAAAGAGGTCCTTATGATGGAAAGGCAGATTATGTTTAGATCATAAAAGTTGCAACCTTCACAGACTTTAATACATTCCAACTTCAGGAGGAGAACTGCAGTTGTGAGGTCTCTGTGCCTGTTGCATGTGCTCCTTGCATTGTTTAACTGCTGATGGACCTTTTAAGAGGACCAGACAAGCCCTCAGGATGATGCGCTATCATTCATTTTTGAAGATTGGTGCAATCACTAGTGTTGGATTGACGGTTCAGTACAGAGAAAGGGTTGGCACCTTCATGGTCACCTTAAGCAGCAATATATTTAAGGCAGGCCAACTGCTTCTCTCCTTCACTTAAGTAGGGGACACTACATCTTGCAACCTTCTCCAAATAAATACCCTCTAGATCTGCTTGGACAACTATTTCCGACCCTCTGCTTCTTCCATCCTTATCAGCTCTGGTTTTATGGGGGAAATGACAGGGAATGTGCACATTTTAAAAGAAGAGGCACCTTGGGACAGAGACCCTCCTCCCTAAGAACATTAGTGTATTTTTGGACAAAGTAGGAATTGAACCGGGATCTTCTTCGCTTATGGCCTTTCCTCTTTTGCCAGAAAACCTCCATAGCTTTCTCCCAATTCTTGGCTGTCCCTTTGTGTTTCTCTCTAGAATTTAGCTCTGCATGAAGAAAGCAAAGCAAAGCATGATATGTGGCTTATTGTTCTAGTTGTATCATTGCTGCTGCCAATGGAGGGAGGGAATCCTGTTCTTCTAGGAATTATCTTTTTCCAAAAGCTTTGCAAATTGATCACCAAGATAAGAGATTTCTGCTGCAGAGGGGGGAACCAGGGGCAGACATCAGGAACACAATGCGAGCAAAAAGAAAGGGAATGGGGTGTGTTGGCCACACGGGTGATGAATCTGAGCAAGCTGGCTATCCCAGGAATAAACAGTTTAGAATAGAATTTAGAGAAGAAGAACTTCTGGAGGATGAGGTGTTATGGAAAGTCTGCCTGAGTTCCTTAAGGACAGGAAGTTGTTCCGGAGCCAGTTTCTGATGTTGTGGAATGGAGGGCTAGCAGACATTCAAAGCATAGCTGTTGTAAAACACTCCATCTGTTCTCCTTGACCATATATAGAAAACCCCAAATCAAACTGGCATTTGAAATCCTAAAAGCTGCCAACACAAGACAGTAACAGATATGAGAAACGGGGCCAAGAGAATCGACCTTTTATGGCTTGGGGGTGGGGTGAGAGAGAACCCGAAGCATAGTGTCTATGTGAGCACGCAGACATGCATCTCTGATCTATACATATGTTCTTTTCACAAATTCCATGAGATCTCATAACGGTCCTGCAGTGGGAGTTTCAAGGCATTGCACCCAAGTTAATGGGTCATTTTGGGGCTTTTTCCTCTGTGTCTCCATAAATCTAAAATTCCAAAGCTGCATTTCTCAACGGTCATGCTGTCCTGTCCTATTACATCATTTCCTGAACAGTTTGGGGACAGCAATCGATCAGTGAGTGTCATGTTCTCTTATCACCAGGCTTGACATTTTGATAACAGTTAATATGATGCCCTCCCCCCCCCCCCAAAAAAAAGAGAATCAAATCTCTCTGGTCTTGGAGGTTTTTCAAGTTAGTTTCTTTGTTTGTTTTAATGGTGACTTGTCACCCACAGACAGTTTAGAAATGTGCACAGGAGCAATCTGGTTTTTGGTTTCATGGAAAGCTGGACCACTGTTGATGCAGACTGATTTATAGCTTAATTCTGGATTTGGTCTGAGTCTCTTAATCTGCTCTTCTGCAACATGTTAAGGGATAGCAAAGTCATAACTGGAGATTTATGAGGATGTGACATGAGACCTGTTGTCACAGTTTGTTCTCCAATTTTTCAGAGTTCCAGCATCTGCAAAGCTGCTGTGCATGCAGGGGTAATTGGGGACAGTTCTGGAGGTTACATAGATGTGATGCCTGTCGATAAGAAGAAGATCTACCACGGATCCTTGAAGAATGGGATCCGATCTGAAAGGTAAGGCAAACATTTCTAGCCTGGTAGAAGAAATAACTATCTAAACCAGTGTTTCTCAACCGTGGCAACTTTAAGATATGTGGACTTCAGCTCCCAGAATTCCCCAGCCAGCATGGTTGAGAAACACTGATATAAACATAAGACATGAAGATTTCAGTTGAGCTTATTTTTCATCTTTCTTTTCCAGCTTAAAGACTCCAAGGGAAGGAAAAGCTTTCCGAATCTTTGCTGTGAGGCAATAAATGTTCAAGAAGGAGACTCTTCTGTGGGAAGAGAATACAGCATTGTACCTCTCCTTTGGTGAGGGGTGTTTGCCCCAGCATGTACCATGATGAAGCCCTCTAAATCGACATTCTTTTGGGGAAAAAAAAGATGGCAGCAGGAATCTTAACTTTCTGCATCTCATCGGCATCTGCTCACGGTTTTCTTTGAAGTTTGTTGTTTTACTTCCAAATGTTTAGAACATTCAGAAAAAGGAAGACAGTTCCAATTCATCAGAGAAGGTGGTTGAAAAACTTGCTTGCCCCACTCATCCTGTGTACTGCTTTGCCTCAAAATATAGGCCGTTGGAGTTCATGGAATAATACTTCCAGAGGGTGAATGTCTATCTGATCAGTAGGCTTTGGATGAGAAAGCCTTTATGTCACCCCAAAGACTACGTTCTTGAAAGATTAGGTCACAGTCAAGAATGTACCTGAAATCCAAGTTACCTTGTGATATCCTGACTGGGTAGAATGACAGGATGATTTAGGTTCAGGTTGTGTGCCACACTAAAAGAATAGATACAGATTTTTCTATGGATATTGGGAAGGAGACATTTAATTTTTGGAACTGAATCTACCTTGCAAAAGAATGGAAATGGAGCTATTTCTCTCAAAAGAAAGCTTAAATGAGATAAATAGGTTTGCTGGCCAAACAATTGCAAGAAGTTAGGAAAATGGGGTTTATTAACACAAAATTAAATAATTGGACCCCTGTCCTGGCACATTCTGATTCATTGTATGTTAGCAATGTTTTATTTACGAATAAATGCAATTTATTTTATTCAGCAGAGCTGTTATAGCATAGCTAAGCAATGATTTCCAAAAGTTGATCTTTATTTTGCTGGAATCAAAAGGATTTTGCTTTACTTTTTTATTTGTATAGATTGGAGGCATGATATATTAGATTGATCACAACATATATAGTATGATGTCCTGTTAGAACAGTTCTATTTTCTTATATGCAGTATGAATAGATCATGTACAAGTCTCAACTGTTCTCCTTAATGAAATGGTTGTAAAGTTGTCCTATTTTAATCCAATAATTTGAAGGCTTAGATTTTTAAAGACTTATCATTCCCCTAAAACCTTGAACTCAATCTTAATTGGGAACCAAAGAAATGATTTCTGCCAACCTGGTGCAATGTTGGCCATAGTGTCTTCAAAAACTGAATGCTGGTCCCATTTTACAAAAGGACGAATATTGTAACTTCAATGTGCAACTTCTATTTATTTAAAGTTCTTGATTTTAGTGGTCAGTGGCTCTTTTAAAACACACACAACACCTCCCAAATAATGCACATGATTAAAGGGTTGCTGTAAGTGGGCTAGGTTTTGGGCTGCTAAACCAAAAAGGTAACTTGCCAGCCATGGTGCTAAGGTGGTGCTAAATAAGAATGGAAAGATCTTTTTGGTTCTGCATCTGCTCATGGATTCATCCAGAAGGAACTGGATTATTTTCCCACTGTTTTTTGATCTTTGGTGGGGGGGGGGGAAATCAGCCATAGTCACAGTAGGATTCTAAGGCATTGTACTAAGGTGGGTGGGGTGGGGGATTGTCCATTCGCTATTTAATATTATTTATCAGGGGTGGGAGAGGACAGTTAGTGTGTTTATATTGTTCTACATCAAGACCTTCTTTTTATGGACCTGAGAATTGTGCTCCCAGATTTCACTGGCAGAATGTCAGGAAATTGAATCACATTTTTGAAGTAAGCAAAACCAGTTCTTTGAGACATCAGAGAGGATAGGCTTCTAAATGCTTAAAGAGGCAAAATACATACAGATATATGGGGAGGGATAACACACCCTTATGCAATGGCTTCACCCTAACTATTGGATTCCTCAGATACCCAGGAGAGATTACAAAAACAACGTAATCTCCGGTTACTAAAAAGTAGCTCAACTTGTGGTATGTTGGTTATCCAAGATGCTTGAGGACATGGTTGGGTTCCATTTCTGAACTAGACTCCTCTACTTCTGGAGGACAATTCTGAAATGGTCACAAAGAGGTCAGATTGCTCAAATCGGTCGTCAGTCCAGGTTGGTCTCTAGTGCGAACTCATACAAGCCAATAGAGGTGAGTTTTGATCCTGTGTCCACATTCAAGGACTTAGAAGAAGACTTCATCAGATTGAATCAGATGATCTGAATCCATTCAGACCATTTTTGGGGGGGCGTATTTCCAAAACGTGTGTGCATGTGTGTGTTTCATGAAATGGTTCAATAAATCAGAGAGAGACAATTTACACAGGCCTAACAAAGCAATTGTGTTGTCCCTTTGCTTGCTTTCGTCAATATCTATGGGAAATGAAACAACAGGGTGTGAATAAAATATGGGCATTTTCATTTTTATCAAAAATATATTTATGGGTGCCACTAGATATAAAGCAACTAGACAGAGGAGAAGAATTTCCCCGCTGCGTTAAAATCTGTCTTAAAGCATATATAGATCTGCATAGATCATATTTGTAGGCAGCAAAAGCCTGCAGGTTTTGTATATTTGCTTTTTTTTCTATGAAAAACGATGTATTTTTTACTGTATCCTCTGTAAAAAAAAAATAATTTCTGTAAAGGGCTTGCATGAGCTTTTTAATGGTCCGAATTATTGTTTTTGATAAACATATTTTCTTCAACCAATTATCTATCCGGTGAAAGAAAACAATGTCTTACCATTTTGTGTTATGACTTTTGTGGAAATAAAACCTTTAGAACGGCGTGGAGTTTTGGGTCTTATTGGCCTTGCAGCTGCATATCTCTCTGAGACGGCATCGTCTGATATATATTTACTTTTGATCCATGCGGAGATCCCAAGGAAAATATCCAGGATTTGGGAAGACATCGCAGTTGGCAATAGCTGACCTCGCATAACTTCTGCATTCGCTCTTGAGTTTGAAAGCCGAGGCTTACTCTGATTCACATTCCAAGAAGGGTAGTTTGACAGTTAATAAACACAAGCAGCTTTTGGAAGTCGTACAGGTATTTTGTTCCTTTAAAAAAAAAAAAAATACTGGCTACAGAATAGTCTACCAGTGGTCTGTAGGAATGCAGAGTTAGAAGACAATTGTTCAAACAGATAGTGACAATCTAGCCTTGGAGATGCAATAGCAAAGGTATTTAGACCAATTAAGTTTGTCATCCCTGAGCAGGTGGAAAATCTCTTATCTTAAAAAAAAAAAAAAAAAGTTTCAAAGCCAACCCTTCTCTGTCCATGTAGCTGGGAATTGAAGTATTTTCAATTCCTCTCCAGCAGAGTTCTGCATCACGTTAAAGTTTCCTAATTTGACCAGAACAAAAGTTAGCTTAGGGTGTAGACTGTATAGAAGGCTTTCTTTTTTTAAAAAAAAAGCACTCTTTTCCTCTTTCATGAACCTCCAGAGGGGTTTGAACCCTCCCTTGTTATTTTGCTGCATCTTCCATTTTCACCACCCCCATCCCACAAGAAAATCTGTTCAGGGGAGAAAGATAGACTAGACCCACACAAGGCTTTTTGAATCATTAGTGTTTGCATCTGCCTGGATTTTAAAAGACACATCACTTAGCTGCTAATTTGCAGAGAGCAACGTGAGAGAAACTGTTCTGTAATATGCAATCCACGGAGGATCATTGTGTGGTCCCTCCTCAGAGAATTATGGGATGGCAGAGCAGCTGGTGAAATTTACATCTTCCCTTCCCTTGACTTCGTTCTGAGATCCAGGTTGTTAAAATTAGCATCCATAGCACCCTGCAGAGAGCGGGCAGACAGTTTGGAGGTCTGTAGCTTTTCGAAATTTTTAGTTTTGGCTTGGTGCATACATTGTGTGATGGAATGGAATTATGAAGGCCAGGCTCAGAGAGATAAACATTTTCTTAGCTCGCTGGAACCGCGTGGGAGGAACAAGAGGGT